GCTTCAACAACAAGGGAGAAAGTTCTAGTAGTAGGCATGCAGAATATGTACATTAGGGACAACTAGGTCAGGGTCCAGAATTCTGGAGTCACTAAGGACCCTACCGAAGGCCAAATCCAAGTCAAAAGTGAACGGACGTTTTCTAGGAGGCTGAGCAATTCTTGGGAATTTGCACTATAAAAAGCCTACCCAGTGCAACTCAATTAGCCAAAACTCTCAATTAAGCAAGGGCTGTTCCCGTCTCCTGAGGCTGAGATCTCAAATTCCCAGTGCACGCAGAAGGCAGGCAGTCAGCAGTAAGAGAGAAGTCTGCGTGTCTCCAGACATTCAGGAGCAGAGCAGAAGGGAGGAACAGGGTCCCTGGCAGGTGAGACATTGGGGGGGGGCGCATAGGAACCAGCAGTGCTAAGCACTGATTAGTACATAATTAAGAACAAACAGTAGCCATTAGTTTCAGAGTAAAACATGATTATGCCCATTTAACCACCAGGAAAAAACAGAAGCACCCAGAACTTAAGCCACCTGTCCCGAGAGCTCAGCACAGCTGGTAAGGAGAATGGAGATGAGCTCTAACACCTGTGCTCAGTTCCCAGTTTGGTTATTTGCTTGGCTGTGTTACACTGGGCAAGCTCGCAAACCTCAGTCTCCCCACTTGTAAAATAGGGGTAATTACAGTACCGACTTCTAGATAATTCAGAGTTGCTTTCTAGGGGTAGGGGTGGAGGGATTCGGTTTTCCTAAGCGCTCAACAGGCTGGGGTGGGGATGGTCTGTAGGTTGACAAGCCAATCCCTGGCTAAGCCCCCGGTTTCCCACCCCGCAGAACTCTGGCCTCAGCTTAGTCTACTCCAGAGGGAGCCTCTGCTGTTTTCTAGGCTACCCACCACTCATGACCTTGAGTTGCAGCCCCTTGGGCCTGTGTCTTCTGCATGCCCCATGGAGGAAACTTTGCAGAGCCTCTCCTGATGCAGTGCCTGCCTCGCCGTAGCCACTGGGCCTATAGGTGCACAGACCAGACTTCCCAAGGACCTAGATTCTCACCCATGTGAGGCCACCTAAAGATCTCTTGATATAGTAAACGTGAAGTGAAACAGTTGGTGCAGCAGAACTTGAGTCTTCCCCAGACGGGATAAGCTAGACCCCCCAGCTTTCCCCAAACTTCTTTGGTTTTACGAGCCTTGCGTCTGTCCTCTGTGCATGCGTGCGTGCGTGTGTGTGTGTGTGTGTGTGTGTGTGTGTATATATATATATATATATAAATATAAAATCCCTCATTTGTTGTCAGAAGGATCAGTGTGTGCATTAGAAAGACCTCCAGAATTTGAGTTTAGCCTGACACGGAGTCTCAGACTGGTCTGTCTTTTTTTTTTTTTTAACGTTTATTTATTTTTGAGACAGAGCACAAGCTGGGAAGGGGCAGAGAGAGGAAGACACAGAACCTGCAACAGGCTCCAGGCTCTGAGCTGTCAGCAGAGCCCGATGCAGGGCTCGAACCCACAGATTGCGAGATCATGACCTGAGCCGAAGTCGGACACTTAACCGACTGAGCCACCCAGGTGCCCCTGGTCTGCTGTCTTCTAAGCGGCAGCAATCTTGAATTTAGTTTTAGGTGCATTTGGGACAGGGTCCTTTGGCAATGGAAACAAGGGGATAGAAGCCAACTGTTGATGTTTTAACTCTAGCTTTTTCATACTTCTCACAAAAAACTCAAAGACATCAGCTCATCAGCCAAATAGTTTAAAGGATTGTTAATCTGGTTTAAGAAAGCCTGGGAGGCTAGCACTAACTCGTGGGGGCAAGTCCTCTTTTCTAGGCTTGGTTCCTTCCACTGACTCTGAAACTTCTGTTCTCTACTTGACACTCTACGTGGTCTACGTTCAGAGAAGGGAAGGACAGGCGACCTAGAAGCGATCAAACAAAGTTGGAGGAGACCAAGAACTACATTAAGTTTCTCTTCTTTTCGACATTGGATTCACAGGTCACATGATTAAGACTATGGAGTGCCTACTGTGTATTCCCTAGACAGCAGATACTGAGGAGAAAAAAAAAAAAACCCAACTATTCTCTGGCCCAACTCTGAAATAAATCCCCTTTCTTCTTTACCTAGCTACAAGGTCCTACGCATCCTTCTTCCAAGCCTACCTTCTCTGCCAACTCCTGGCTAACTTTAGATTATCTTCCTGTCGATCCTGTGCAACACTCTGTAGAAAGCCCTTGTTAACCAGACCACTTGCCTTTTCCCCTGGTGATCCTGATTAGCACTTATGTCTTCTACAGGTCCTCAAACTTTCCAAACTAAGTTCCTTTGGGGCAAAGACTGTCCTCTTCCCTCCCCCCAATCTCCAGAAATGCTACTATGGGGACTAAGTAAAAGTACGTGGATTTGGTTCAACTGAGACTTTAAAATCAGATTAACACTTTTTTGGTCCATTTCAAAATTATTCTAAATTGCAGGAGACTGGGCAAAAGATGACTGCAGAAGAGTTTAATGACAGGGTTGAACCAGATTATCTCGAAGATTCCTTCCAGCTTTGACATTTCTAAGTGGAAACAGCAAGCTGTAGCACCCCAGGGCTGATTGAAACTGCAAATTTTGGAAGCTGAAGGCAGGAAAGCTTAACTTAGAGTAATGTGGGTCTCTTTGTTCTTTACTTTAATACTAATAGCAGAAAACAATGCCTACTTACAGCTTCCTAAATTTACATTTGACATGTAAATTTCAATGTCGGTTTCAAAAGCGAGGTTGTCTACATTTCCTTTACTGCCCTGAGCCCAGAGGGTTACCTGACCCACGCAGAGGCTCCCATACTTGAGAAGACTCCCAACAACTGAAAGGGACAATTAATGTGTGTGGCCTGAAGCAACATTATTTCCTTTCTCTAGACCGATTTTGTTTTCATTCACACAATTAGAATTGTGTGGTAGAAGATACCAGTTTTCCCCTCAACCTGGTATTAATGACAACAGATACAACAGGATGTGCTCCATGGTCCAACAAGTTTTCAGAAACTTGAACAAGCACAGAGTGAATCTCAAAAGGGATGATGAAAGAGGATGCAAAATGTGGACTCTACTTGTTGAGGCTGCTAGTTCCTCCTTATCTGAGCACGTCGGGACATTCCCAGAGTGCACAGCCGCTTCGGGACATAGGCACACTTATCTTCTGGATAAAGGAATGCTTTCCCACAGGTTTTAAACAACTTGAATGTCTCATGCAGTCAGTTCAGACAAGCCACGATTGAAAGCGAGCCTAACACCAAAGCCTATGGTATTAACCACCAGACTATGCTGCAACCGTTTACTGTGGAGACTGGACAAACTGCTACATGCAAGAGAATGTGAACAGGATTTATATGTAAGGAGAGGAAGGCAAGACTTCACACCCAGGTGGAAGCTTCAAGATGGGCCTCAATGAACCCGGGGTAGAAGGGGATCAGTGGCAAAGTGTGAATTCCCACATCCCACGGCAGTCCTGTATTATGGAAGTCCAGACTATTCTGTGAAGATGGACCGCCTGAGAATGAAAGTGTAGGGCCTGTAGAACACAGGTAAGCTCAAATCTCCTGGATAAAGTCTTTGCAAAACAAATGTATTTGACCCAGGGAGAGAGTGGGCTTTTTAGGATGGAAGAAAACTGGGCATCAAAAGTAAAAACCTATTTTGAAAAAACTCCAGGTGTTACCGCTCATGGCCCTCAACCCACCGCCAAACACCTGAAATGGGACAGAGTTCTCTTGGGATGGGCTGTAGGAGACTAAAGTCAGGCAAAAGCTTCAAATAAAATGCCCTCTCCAACCCCATCCGGTTCTTAAAAGGTCAGTTCCAACTTTTTCTGCTGGGAAGTGAGGGCATCGTTAACCCATCTGAAACAATCTAGGCCTTGAATTAAGACAGATCTGGGTTCACTGTCATTCAAGCTCTGAAAAGCTGTAAAGAAACCCAACTTTCCTATACAAGCTGATTAACCTCATCAACTTCTATTTGTTCACCTCTAATCCTTCACTTATAGAAAAAGGAGAGGGTTACTTTCAAGATTACGTAGAATCACTCTGTAAGACATTTAGGACATAGCTAGGACTCAGTCAGATTGGGAACCTCTCCCTTGAGAGGGTCTCCTAAGACCTTTCGAAGCCACCTGCCCTCCCCTCTCTGAAGAGAGCCTTGGCTACTTGGAGTCTGAACAAAACTGAACGCTCAGGATGAACTCACTCCCCTCCTAACTGCAGCCAAAACCCAGAAACCAGGATTAGCCTTCCCATGAGTCGCAAAGCTCCCTTGCCTCGCTGGGCCCCATCTTCACTATGAAGAAAAACACCCAGGACAGCCAGCCTCAGGGAGTTAAGAAAAAGATTAAGTATGTAAAAGAGAGGAAAGGAGGGAAAAGGTGTTACAAGTTACATGACAGCTCTACGCCCTCCTGGGGCGTTATTATTCTGCAGGCCCCAGAGGACTTAGCCAGGAAACCCACCAGTTTGCCTGACTGCCCTGGGATGTGCTGGGGTCTCGGAGAAAAACGAACACTAGGAAGTAAAAGTGTGGGGGTGGAGCTGGAGGGTGTCAGGACTTTTGGAACCAGACAGGGAGGAGGTGTGGGTGGGTCCAGTAAAGTTCTTTTTGTTTGCTTTGGGAGGGAAAGAGAAGAGGCCCTAGAGAGGGGGCTGCAGAAGGTCTTCCACCAACTCTGAACCCCTGCTCTTCCTCCAGGGAGCTTCAAAGTGCTAGAAGTAATAACAGTTCACCTTTATGGAGTACTTGCTAAGTTAATGGTTAGCACTTAATGAGCCCGTTTTAGAAAAACACCAGCTAACGTTTGAACCAGGGGCTGATCCGGGGTCCCGAGATGAGAAGAGGGCCCAAATGCCTGGGCCCGGGGAAGGAGGGTGTGTCTGGGCCCAGGGTGACAGGACCGGGACCAGGGCCCTGGGGGGTCAATCGGGGCCGGGCCATCCAGGGGAGTGGGTCTGGGCCCCGTGGGGGCGGGCCGGCCAGTGGCGCTCCTACCTTTGAGCGAGGTCTCCACCAGGCGCAGGTAAAGCTGCGAGCTCTTGTTGCCGTGGCTCATGCGCTGGGCTAGCCCGTTGCGCTGCAGGACGCACTCCTCAAACTGCACGACGTTCTGGTGGCGCCGCTTGAGGCTGGTCAGGGCCCAGAATTCGGCCAGCGCCAGCTCCACGTTCTCGGGGGCGTCGCAGCGGATCTTCTTGACCGCCACCCGGGCCCCGCTGCGCCCGGCCACTGCCTCGTAAACCACGCCGTAGCTACCGCGCCCGATCTCTGCCAACAGGCTGTACCGCGGCCGCGCCGACCCGCCGCCGCCCTCTGGCCGCCGCCGCGCCAGGTAGGCCTCGCCCGGGGCCTCGGCTGCCACCGGATCCATGGCCTGGGCCGCTGCCGGCCTCAGCTTCGCGCTGGGCGCCCGCGGCACTGGGCTTCGCCTTTTCCGCTCGGGGCTTTGTGTACCTCTACGGGCGCCGTCCTCCTCCCCCGTTTCCATGGCTGCGGGCGGCGGGGGGAGCAGCAACGGCGCTGCCGGGGTCCCCCCTGCCTCATCCCTCCGTCCGGCCCCGGGACGTGGAGGAGTGGGACCTTGGATTGTGACCTGCTGGCGAAAGGATTGGTTAACCAACTAGGCCGAAGCAGGGAGGCCAGGTAGGAGCGCAGGCCGCAGGGCGTCCCACCTCCTCCTTCTCCTCCTCCGGCCGCCGCGGCCCCTTTAAGACGGAAGCCGCCGCTGATGACTGAACAGGGGAGGGGAGGGGAAAGCGGGAAAGACGAAACCACTAGGCTGTGGCTCAGAGGGGGAACCGGAAAGAAAAGCAAAACGTCCCCGCCCTCTCAGTTAAATTGTCGCCCAAGAATAGGAAATACAAGGACCAGCAGTCTTTACAATTTAAGAGAATTGCCTTAAGAAGCAACTTTGACTGCGGAAATCTTTTTCCCTGCCCGGTCTCCTCTGGGATACCCCTCCCCGCATCCCGCTTTAGGTTCTCCCGGGTGTAAACAGTCCATTGAATTAAGCCCGAGCTGAGCCCGGCGGACGGACCCAAGTCCTGGAGGGCGGCGGGTGGGGTTAGAAATTCCGCGTCCCTAAGCCCGCCAAACTGGGAGGCCGATTGCCCTCCCCAAGCGTCCGAGGTGACGGGGGTGGCTCCAGCCTCGGCGCCTGCTGTGACTCCGCAGATTGCGCCCTTACCTGACCGGCGCGCCTCCATTTCCGGGCGGCCCGTTTCCCCCCTGGCGCCCCGGGCCGAGGATGGTCCGGTCCGGGCCAGGGCTGCCTCCGGTACGGAGCGGTGCCAGAGGCGGCGGCCCGGGCCGGGTGTGCTCCGAAGCCTGCAGCCGCACTGGCGGTGGCAGCGGCGCCAGCGGGGGAGAACCGGGTGTCCGTGCTCCCGCGGCTCTCCACGTGTTCGCGCCAGCTGAGCCGTTTACATAACCTGTTTACATAAGCCGCACCTCCCGCCCGTATACGGGCCAGCGGGGGCTCCTGGTGGCCCATCCCCCGGGAGGCCGGTCGAGTACCGCGCCGCCTGGGTCTTGCCAAGGTCGACGGAGCAGCCGCAGCCAGGCGCACCGGGCACGCCGCGCCGGGGCCCAATCACAGGCGAGAGCACCCAGCCAACAAAAAATAGGCGCCAAATTCTGCGAGCCGCCGCGTCCTCCCGGCCTCTGCGGCCGACGGTGCACCGCAACCTCCTGCCTCCTCGGCTTCGCTGCGTGAAGTGGAGCTGCGCGCAGTAGGCCCCTAATAAATACTGATTGGTTGATTGGATTGGTCGGTTTGATTGATTCATAGGTAGTGCCTGGGAACCGCCCGGCCTGGGTTGGAATCCACACCCGGCTTCCCCATAGCTCCTGGATTCTGGGTAGATCATTGTCCCATTCCGTGCCTCAGTTTTCTGTTCTGCAAAATGGGTGATTGGACCTTACCTTGCCAGTGTTGACAGCGCCACATGAAATATATATAATTTATCGTTTAATGCGTATATTAAGAGTAGCAAAATATATATAAAGTGGCTAATGGGATACAAGGCTGAAAGTGCTATTTTGTTCACTGCTTTGTACTCCAGTGCCTAGTAGATGCTCGTTATTTTTAACCTGAATCTGTATTTATTGAACGCCCTTAATGTGGTAGGCCCTGTTGTAAATCGCTGGGGAAAGCAGTGTACGAAACAATCTCTACCTTAGTTGAGATTCTAGGCCTCTGGAGGAGACAAATGATATCGGTGATCTTGTGCAAGTTAAAACAGTAGTTGGAGGAATCAGTGTAGTTACGCAGTTAAAACCACAGGACAGGGCCTTAAAGTAAATGTTAGATGTTATTAACTAAACAATAGAATAATTTTTGACATGGGTAAGCATGATGGAGAAAGTGAGTGAAAGAGTGCCTTGGGTTTGGGAATAGGCCACTTCTGAGAGCGTAGTCATTGAAAGACTAATTTTGTGAGTGTGTTGGGGGGGGGGAGTTCAAATTTACATGTAAGTTGCAAGAATAGTAAAGAATTCTCATATACTTTTAGGGTCTCTTTTGCACTGTGGGTGGGAATCCAAACTGCTGCAGCCACTCCGAAAAACAGTATGGAGGTTCCTCAAAAAATTAATAGAACTACCCAAGACCTAGCAATTGCACTACTAGGCATTTATCCAAGAGATGCATAGGTGTGCTGTTTTGAAGGGGCACATGCACACCAATGTTTATAGCAGCACTATCAACCAATACCCAAAGCATGGAAAGAGCCCAAATGCCCATTGACAGATGAATGGATAAAGAAGGTGTGGTATATATATACAATGGAGTATTATTTGGCAATCAAAAAGAATGAAATCTTGCCATTTGCAATTACATGGATGGAACTAGAGGGTATTATGCTCAGCTAATTTCCCTTAGTGGGGAAAGTCAAACATCATATGACTTCACTCATATGTGGACTTTGAGATACAGAACAGATGAAAAGAGAAAGGAAGCAAAATAACATTAAAAACAGGGAGGGGGGACAAAACATGAGACTTAAATATAGAGAACAGAGGGTCGTTGGAGGGATTGCGGGGGGAGGGGAGTTGGGCTCAGTGGGTAAGGAGCATTAAGGAATTTACTCCTGAAGTCATTGTTGCACCATGTGCTAACTTGGATGTAAATTTAAAAATAAATTATTAATTAAAAAAATAAAGAATAAAAAAAGAATTCTCATATATTTTTAACCAGAATAAATAACAAATTGTCATGTTTTGCTACTACTTTGCATTATCATATTCTTTCTTGTGTATCTGTGTATAATATACACATATGCTCTTTGCCGTAAATCATTTTTGAGTGGATTTCAGACATTATGCCTCTTTATCCCACATACTTCTGTAGTTATATTTCCTAAAAACATGGACATTTTCTTGCATAATCTCAGCATAATTATCAAAATCAGGAATTTTAACAATAGTATGACTCTTTTAATATTTAAATTTTGCTAATTGTCCCAGTAATGTAGCCATTGCCCAGGACCCAATTTAGGATCACAGGTTTCCTTTAGTTGTCCTCTCTTTTTAGTTTCCTTTACTCTGGAGAAGCAGTCAATTACTCAGCCTTTCTTTGTCTTTCATGACCTTGACATTTTTGAAGAGTACTGGGGAGTTATTTTGTAGATGTCCTTAATTTGTATTTGTCTGATATGTTCTCACGATTAGATTCCGATTATGCATTTTTGGCAGGAATGCCGCTGAAAGGAAGTTGTGTCCTGAGCGTATCACATCAGAAGGCACATGACATTCGATTGTCCCAATATTAGTGATATTAACTTTGATCATTTGGTTAAGGTGGCGTCTGCCAGGGTACTCCACTGAAAAGTTACTGTTTTTCCCTTGTAACTAATCAGTATTTTATGGGAAGATATTTTGAGATTATCCTGTTTTTCATCAGACTCACCCACTGGTTTTAGCATTCATTGATGATTCTTGCCTGAATCAATGATTACTGTAATGGTTGCAAAACGGTGATTGGGAGTCTTCTGTGTTGATTTGCACAGGCCGCCATAATAAAATTTTACAGATTGAATGACCTAACACGTTTATTTTCTCATAGATCTGGAGGCTAGAAGTCCAAGATCAAAGTGTTGGCAGGTTTAGTTTCCTGGCCTGAAAGTGGCTGCCGGCTGTCTGTGTCCCCACCAGGTCCTTCCTCTGCTCTGGTGTCTTTCCTCTTCTTTTAAGGACAACAAGTCATAATGGATTAGGGCCCCACCCTAATGGCCTCATGTTAACTTATTCATCTTTTAAAATCTTTTTTTTAAATGTTTATTTTTGAAAGAGACGGAGAGACAGAGCATGAGAAGGGGGAGGGGCAGAGAGAGAGGGAGACCCAGAATCGGAAGCAGGCTCCAGGCTCTGAGCTGTCAGCACAGAGGCCGATGCTGGGCTCGAACTCACGAACTGCGAGATCATGACCTGAGCTGAAGTACGACCCTCAACGGATTGAGCCACCCAGGCTCCCCAACTCCTTCACCTTTTTAAAGACCTATCTCCAAATATGTTACATTCTACGGTACTGGGGCTTATGAATTCAACATATGAATTTAGGGTGCAGACCCGAAGCCAGCCATGCTATAACTAGTGGTAAGGCATTTAAGGAAGAAGTATAGAAGCCAAAAGAAAGGAACAAGCTTGATATTCAACTTCAGCCAGTTGGTGAGTGTGTCAAGTAGTACAGCCACTTGGGGAAAAAAAGAGTTTGGCAATGTCTTATGAAGTTAAATATAGATCTACCCTATGGCCCAGCAACTTCATGCCCAGGCATTTACCCAAGATACACGAAAGTTTATGTTCACAAGTACACTTTCATAAAAATGTTTAAAGTGGCTTTTGCCACGAGAGTCCCAAACTAGAAAACACTCTAATGTTCATCAATAAGTGAATAGAGAACCACACTGTGGTCTTCCTATACTATGAGGTACCACTGGGGGTGGGGTGGGGGGTGAGGAGGAATGAAATATTGATTTAACAACATGAAGGCATTAAAATAATCACGCAGAATGAAAGTACATACTGCATGATTCTGTATACAGTTCTTGAAAATGCAAGCCAATATACGGTGATGGAAAGCAGATGAGTAGTTGGGGGTGGGGAGGGAGGTACGTGAGGAAACTTTTGGGGGCGATGAATATGTTCATTATCTTGAAATTATCTTGTGACAGTTTCAGGGGAGGGATATGTTAAAGCCACTTCAAATTGTACACTGAATAAATGTAGTTTTTTACACATCAGTTTTATAGCTTTACCTAATTAAAGCCGTAAAAAAAAGAAAATGAATTGGGGCGCCTGGGTGGCTCAGTCGGTTGAGCGTCCGACTTTGGCTCAGGCCATGATCTCATGGTCTGTGGGTTTGAACCCCGATTCAGGCTCTGTGCTGACAGCTCGGAGCCTGGAGCCTGCTTCAGATTCTGTGTCTCCCCTCTCTCTCTGCCCCTCCCCTGCTTGTGCTGTCTCTCTCTGCCTCTCAAAACATTAGAAAAATGAGTTAAAAAGAGTACATGCTAGATGATTCCATTAATATACAGTCAAGCAACACTGATCTAGGGCAGCAGAAAACACATCGGTGGTTATCTTTGGGTGGGAGTTGGACTGCTGAGGGGCGCAAGGGAATTTTCTGGGTGATGGAATTTTATTGTATGTAAATTATATGCCAATAAAGTTGGTTTCAAAGGTGAATTAACAAACCCAAATCCCACCTGGCCAAGAGCACCTGTATCCTTACTTAGCACTTCTAAGGACTGAAGGCTGCATGGTCCGAGGCAGGGCTGGCCTGGTGCCTGCCATACTGACCCCAGACACTGAACAAGTCCAATGGAATCTTTCTCCAGCCAGTTTCCTAACCGAGCCTTTTCATTTTTTTAAGCTTGTTTATTTTTGAAAGAGAGGGGGAGGGGCAGAGAGCGAGGGAGACAGAGGATCTGAAGCCTAATGCAGGGCTCGAACTCATGAACCAGGGGGTCATGACCTGGGCTGAAGTTGGCTGCTTAACAGACTGAGCCCCCCCGCCCCTGTCCCCGGGGGGTGCACGCCTCACCCCTAAGTCTTAAAAGAAAGATTGGATCTGAAGTTCTGGGAGAACCACAAAGAATATAAATCCTTTCGGTTTTTCATTTTCTTCTTTTTTTTTTTAACATTTATTTTTTGAGAGACAGAGAAAGACAGAGCACTAGCAGGGAAGGGACAGAGAGAGAGAGAGACAGAATCTGAAACAGGCTTCAGGCTCTGAGCTCTCAGTACAGAGCCCGATCTGGTGCAGGGCTCGAACTCCCAAGCCGTGAAATCATGTATGACCTGAGCCGAAGTCCGAAGCTTAACTAACTGAGCCACGCAGGCGCCCCTAAATCCTTCTGTGTACTGAGAAGGGCCAGGCTGCTTGAAACACTATTGACGGCTCGCCTCATTTTTTTTCTTTTTTTTTTTTTGCTTTATTCTGGCTTTTCTTAAGTCGCAGAAGGAACCCTAACTATTCTTTTTATTATAAAATAATAATACTAGGATTGGAACTAAGACCCCAGACTCTTCACTCTACCTTTCCTGGTCAGCCTTCCCCAGGGTAAGCATTGATGTGAAAATTAGGGCAAGCCTCCTTCCACGCCTTTCTCTGTCGCACGCATGCCTGTCTCCATATCTCTGAAGCCTCGGCTGCTGCCAGACACATGCCTGGAGCCCAATATTTCATGACAGAAGAAATGAAGGAAAAAGGGAGGGGGGGGCGCCTGGGTCGCTCAGTCGGTTGAGCGTCCGACTTCACCTCAG